TCAGTTAAAGTAACTTAGAGGGTGATGAGTGTGGCGTTTAATCCTTCCGTAGAAGTAGTCCACATGGAATTCATGATGGTTCAGTAGGCGAAAAGTCTAGAAGTAATAAGGGACACAGAAATGGCATAACTCCGAACAAAGTGGCTGAAGTTGATAGGGTTTAGCGGGCTTCAGATAGGAGCTTTACTTTACGGATTGCAATACGTGTGACGGAAGAAGACCTAGAGAAGCAACGCATGTGAAATGAGCACCGTAACACTTCCTACCCGTGAATATCAGACGTGGCAGTAGATTCCCCATGCCTTTCGAAAACGAGTTTGCTGACAGCGAACTTGTTCGCAATATTATTTACTGGAGAGTGATGTGCTTTACGCCCTCCCAGGAACAGCAAAAATATTGATAGTGATGAGGATAACAATAATCATAGGTTTACTTGCCAAATGTGTGCCTGTCAAGAACACGGCAAGTTCCTGTTTAGGAAGCAGGTCACAGTGGTGACCTGGCCACAGAAGATATCGATTAATTCTTGTGTGACACGGACAAGGAAGTATATAGCCCAATGATTTATGGAGTAACAATATCTTAAAGCCTGCAGGAGCCACGAAGCTCTAAGAAAAAAAACGCCGCTTTTCTTTAAGGGTAGAATATGGGCTACAGTTCTGCTCTACTTTGGTGACGCATATGAAGTTTCGGTTGGTCACATTGGGGCAAAAGGGATTTAAGCAGTTTTGGCAAGAAAGATGGACGTTGAATGAGGTGGCATTGATACAATTAGATGCATGGGGTAAGAGAATAATTATCTTCAGTTTGGCTTTTAGTTGAGAGGAATGATGTGAAGTCGGGATTGGGCTCAATAACCGAGGTGGGACAAGTTTGAAAGTGATTAAATGCGTGTAAATTTTGTTCGTGGCAAAGTGGAGAAAACAGGTGGGTGTCAGTAAAGGCGGTGAAGGGCAACATAGTTTTCATATGCATCACTGTTAAATAAATGGCAGTTGACGAACAGCATATGGGCTAAAGCAGGCGAGCCTATATCAGCCCTCCGCCCGTGTCCTAAAGAACAGCGGAAGACACGCAAGTTTGAAGCGTTGGAATTGCAGGGGCTAGTAGAGTTTCTACATGTAAGGAGATGTAAAGATATGGCAATAAGCTTGTAAATACAGCTTAAAAAGCGGTGAAAAGACATTCCGTTGTGCCACTTAAAACAGATGTTTGGAAACGACGGGTGCTGATAGCCAAGGTGAGCGGATTAGATGCCACGACACATGGAGCTTATCAAGTTGAGAAGAGGGGGCGGGGCGTAGTGGTGAAGTGGCTGGTGTCATAAAACCCCGGCAGAAAACAGACCAGTTCAGCGGTGGAAAACGTCCGTCTGTGTTGGGGTTGCAGTGGATCTATAGGCTGGCTTGTTAGACCTGGAAGTTGTTCATGGAAAACTAGAAAAAGAAATACAGGCTCAGGTTACTAGCATAAACGAAGCCTAAGAGATCGACGGCAGGCGCAGATTTCAAGTTCTGTCAAGCATTTTACATGTACAATTTGAGGCAAAGCTGGTGTACTTATGCGGAAGATGGACGGTGGTTTGCTTTGTAGAAGCGGGACACGCGAAGAGATGTGGATTTAGTGAAGAGGACATTATTGAAGTACCAAACATTATGGCAAATTTTCGAGTCCAAAGGTGCATTTTGGTTTAAGGGAAACGGAACTTCATTACTTCAGGTGTTCTCTTGAGCAAGAGCCGACTTTGCCATGGCCAAGTGGAGACGTAAGGAAAGACTTGGAATATACTGCATCATTTGCGTCAACAGTGCGACTGAGTGAGCCATGGTGTTTAGAGATAACATTACCGAAAATTTCAGCGCCGAGGTGAGAGATAGCTTCAATTCACGGAGAGATGCTGTGAGATTCGAAGCCAACGAATATATGTGCATGGCTTTGGTACGTGAATCTACGCCATGGTATTGAGAACGTGAGCAAGAAGCAATGTCGGAATACTAGGAACCTGGGGATATCAGATTAGCTTCGTTACTGCTTGAGGAGGCTGGAGATCTGGCAGGAATAATGGTGGCGGAGTATAGAGCCTGGTTTTCTGGTAGTAAGGCTTGGCTAGCAACAGTTTGAAATGACATTGCCTGAACCAATAACTTGTAATATTTTAGTATTTCTAGTGCCGAGCTTCCGCAACGTCAGCAAGGTGGAGGGAAAAGTAGTGCATTCGAAAGCTTAATAACCTAGCGGATGAGAGCTTAGATGCAATCAGGTGGGCGTTGGGGAAAGTTTGTTATTACCTTGAATTCAGGATCAGAAACGCCAGAACTCAGGTCTCACCGACCTCGCAGTTACCTGCTTCAACGATCTGACTCTCCAGGTGGCCACCTCTTGCTAATACGTTCACACATTGTTATCAAACAGAACCTGTTGGTTTTACTTTAAACACATCCGAGCATTCTGACTGAATTTGACTGCGAGCGCTGCTTCCTCAGACTATCGGTTGGAGACTTCAGGTTTATTTATTTTCTCACCTAACCTGTACCATTTCTTTTGTCCTGGATAACTTTCGTCCGAAATTACCTTTGAGACGAACTAACTACCATTGACGCCTATGCCCATGTGCATTCCTTAGTAAAAGTGTTTCCCTGGCAACATCAATTTCTTTTTCATCGTCTTATCCACCTATAAGACCCTACGCGCATAACTGAAAGTGGGGTATGATCAAGACCTCTTGTCAGCGCACCTATAAATCTGTCAGGTGATCGGACATTTTCCAACCAAACTACCGAAACAAAAGTTGGACTGAAATAGTCTTAGCTCTGGGTGTGGTGGAAAAAGCGATGCTATGAGCGCTGCAATAAAATGATGGAAACACAAACGTCATAAAATTTCCAGAATCTATCAGGGATCGGAAATGGTGTAAGCTTAGCTTAAAGTCAGATGTAGAAAAAATGTGGCATCTTGGAAAATATAAAACGTAGGTATAAAAGTTAGGTCGTCTCAGTACCAAGGGGAGATGTCAGGTTTCGCATCCCACCAAAATTACAGCAGAATGCTCCCAGGAGCTTATGTCACCGTATGAGGCGGAAAAGCGGTGAGCTTTAGCGTGTACCTGGCATACCTTGCGCGTCTTACACATCGAGAAAAACTTAGGGGCTTACCATTTCGGGTTCAAAAGCCATTCACATTCGTCAACACTTTTCACGATGCGATCTAACTTATAATTACGAGGAAGTGATATCTCTGAGCTTCCAGAGAGACCTGGCACTCTAAAACCAGGAGTCACCTCAGAATTTGTCACAAAAACCCATTGAAGATGAACCTACAACGTAAGCAAGGTTCTTTTTACTCGGCTCCAAGCGCCTGAGGCAATACACAACCGGACTGGAGTGGGGCTCTTTGACAATCACTTCAACAGACGCCAGCTATATAAGCAACAGAATGGTAAGTCCCAGTCAAAATAACTTGAGATCTTACCAGAATACCAACCCAAATTTTAAAGTCAACAACAGAATCCAGCAGATCGTGATGGATGAAAACGTGTTGTCAGGAACGCAAAGGAAAATCACCCCACTAAAGTCAAAGCGAAAGATGAATGATGGGTTATGCGTATACCACAAGTCTAAGTATGGGTGAATTTTCTGTTTTCCCTTATTGCCACAATTTTCGGTGCGATAATCGTCATGTACCGACGCAAAAACAAAGTGTTAATATATCAGCTTTTTCGAGCTTTTTATTTTAATGAAGATTGTTAGTTGATTTAATCACCAGTAGTTTAGGTACACTGTTGTACCAGTCATATGGTTTTCCCCACCTGATTTAGGTTTTGGAGATGTGGGAAAGAGATTTGGCCGCCAATCGCTAGAAATCTCAACAGTTGATAAAAAGCAGTGGACCAGGGAGACGTAGGTTACGTAGACTGCACCCAGTGAGAACCCATAGCAGTGATATCCATATTTGCAGATAATGTCTGAACAAATACAGTTATTTCAGAACTGCTTTCAAACTAATCTTTTGGCTTATATTTCTCGTGCGTTAGTCCACCTAAATTTTTGACCTGGCAGCTAAAGCAACAGCCCCAGATCGGATCTCTTTAGTGAGTAATCACTTTGTAGCGCCGTAAAACCAACCGCACGATATTCTACAGCATAAGATTGTCCATTACTTCCAACCATTCATGTGTTTTGGGACTCTGGTAAAGTGGCTGCTCCAGTTTATCGATAGCCGACGGTGTGTTTCCTCTAGTTCTTGAACAAGTCGGCTGACTCCACGTGAAAAATCAGGAGTTTTCCAAGGGATTCCAAGCAGTTCAGTTCAATCGATATGCGACGGCAAGCGCAAATCTCCTTGAGTCCAGAAACCCATGATAGCATACCGTCTAATTCGAAAGCTGTGGATCACTCTGTGCTGTAGTTAATAATATCAATAATTATAGTTATAATATATATAGTAATTAATAATACATCAAAACAGCAAACAGACCAAACGCTACATCACCTGTTCACTTCGACCAGCTAAATGGACCACCAACTAGTCAGTTTAAATATGAGTGGAATCCACAATCACGAAGCAATCAATATTTAGATATTCGTACTCTACGTTCCATCCCCATTTCCTTATCCAATATTGAACTGCAGAACTCACTCGCTTTGGGCGAATGACTTCACGTCTTGCGTCACTTGCTCCCCCCACCTGGACTCCCATGTTTTCAAATGAGTCCTATTGTCTTGTTTCCTTGATGCACTTTCTCTACACCCACCCAGTGTATCCTCTTCATCTACCCCTTTTGTGTCTAGGTGGGCTGATTAGCGGGTGTGGTGATCATACAAGTAAAAGAGTCACCAAAAATGACAGCCGAATGGTGTTCGTTGCAAAGGAATCGAATGGCATGTCAGAAATAGGGAAGTCGAGAGTATCCGCAACTGAATGCAACAGTCTAGAAACTCGGTCACAAAGACTCATTTAAGCGTGGTGGTGTTCCACAGCTCGACATATCTGTATGAAGCAGTTGAATAAGTATGAATAGGTGACAATCTGATGTTCCACTGAACAGCACTCCTCGGAGACGCCGCTAGACACCTTAAAACAATTATAGATACTATTCAGAACATAAGTGAAAGAAGACAAAAGCCGAATGAACGATTGGTTTCCTGCAGCCGTCAGCCCAAACAGCAAACTGCATAGTCGAAATATCGGAATGACACAACTGCATTTATCAAGAAAGAGGCAATAACCAGTTTCAAACTCCAGCTGGGTAAAAAGGTAGAGTGTGTTCAAACATCGAAGACAGCAAAACTAGTCCTCATTTGCATGCCAAATTAGAGAAATCATGGAATTATGTAGCGTTTTCATATACGTCGTGTGGAAATCTTTATCAAAACATTGATCAGTCGATAGTGTGTTTATAGGGAAATTTCCTGGATAAACTGCGTTATCAGGTGGTAGGCCGGCACAGGTTTGTCTTGGGGTACCATATGCCCAGATCCACGTACAGTTACGTACCATAAGGGTGTTTCATTTAAGTATAGTGTCTTCTGAAGTCCGCCAACTTGCCTCGTTCCGTCTCTATCCATGTACAGCCATTGCTTCATCGGTTTATGCATCTAAGAGAAAGAAAAGGCGGTTATGAAGTTCATTAACCAAAGAGGAATGCCAGAACGGAGGTTCCGGCTACCGTGTGGTCCTACCGCTGTGGATCTTACGAGTCCGCATTACACAGAAAATTCATAAAAAATAGTTCGATTCGCCAATTTGCACGTAGCTAAAATAAGTACTAAGAACTTCAGCTGTAGTGCATGTAAAGCTATTTCGTTTAGTTACTTACGAAGGTGAACTTACCTTCAACCCAAGGTCATCTACGAACCAAAGAATCCCAAGGTAATTGCAAGCCGTATCAACATCCCCAGCATATAAGAGTGTTGGAACCTTAAACACGAAAATGAAAGACGAACGTTCGAATATCATCTTTTGGCGGCAACTGTGTGACAATCTCGAACAGACCATACTTTGAATAAAAACCTATGATATATTATCCCCATGAGGAGACTGCATTAGTTGGGTGGCCAAAACTAACTACCAAAACTATTAAGAAAGCCTTGAACCCTTGGATGAAGCTGGACAGACGCGTTCTTAACATTGCTCATCCTACTACTTTCGAGCGCACAAACCAAATGTCTAGATGAAACTACCGATGATTAAAAGGATTAGGAACTTAGCTCAAGAGAATTTCTTTCCTGGTGTTCTACTTGAGCAAGCCGATGTTGAAAATTAACTGAACTGTGCCACCGAATATATTCTCAACGATTCTGATGCAAGTTAAACATATGTAGCCAGATATATGAGCCAGATACAATGATAAAACTGTCAACAGCTGGTGGTCAGAATTCCTTGCCTACTTGATGGACAACATGTCCATGACTATTTTCATAAAGGAAACTACTCACAAGGTTGTTGAAAACTCTTCGACAGCCCTCTTCACAGCAAACTTGTGAGTAGTTCCCTGTATGAAAATATGCTGCGATATCTCGAATATCTTGCCAACTGAATCTTGAGGCGGCCTGTGTACAGCACATTCAGTTGTATGATATCATAACCGAGAGATTCAGTTGGGTCTTTCGTGAAAACCAATTTGATTTGCAAATGAGTGTATTTCTCGATGTGCATGACTAGCTCCTGAAGAAGAATCACTGCAGCTCCCGAAAAAAGAAACAATAAGTAAGGTGGACTAGCGTAAATGAAGTTCGGACTAGTATTTCAGGATCAATTTACCCGGTCTTGTAAGCTATAGACTCAAAATTACCCTATTTTTGGCTGCCGAATAATAGGGTCCACGATAATTTGGCGTAATAAAAATTGTTACGGTAACCAGGGTTCAAGTAACGCAACAAACCAAAGTGTTTCCACCATAATTTAAAATTAGCGACGACTGTTTAAACGGTAATTTTGTGCCACAATTTGGGAAGATTATATGCACACCGAGAAAAAGAAAACCTACGAACTACAGCAGAGTTATTTTTAAAGTGCTGTCGTAGTTGTGTAAATACTAGAGTTAAGAATTCTGGAATTCCGAATGCATAGAAATCGGGACTTCTGCGCGTGTTTAGAGCTCAAAAGCCAAAGGATGAACTTTGATCCAATTGTAAGCCGGAAACTGATGGATGGAGGTTTTTTAGAAGTTTCGGAAACATACACGAGACATCTGACATTAACAGTATTTGCTGAACACTCAAGGCGGTTTATTCGTTTCATACTGCATGACCTACCTAAGTGCAAAGAAAAATTTCTATGCTGAGTGGAATATGAAGTGACTCAATCAGACAAAGGAGATAAGGTAAGAGGAGTAGATAGATAGATACGCAATTCAAACGGAGACAGCACTACTCTAGGCTACTTGAAATCGCGTCTACTAAGATGGATTAGGATACTGTCCACCAAAAAATGCAAACAAGCTATCAAACTTTGGAATGCACATCCCCGAAATCTGCCATCTGATTTTCACCTTTCCTAAGTTTGAAAACATGAAGTGATACCATTACATCGTTCAATGTTCATTGGTACCCTGTGGGACAATACGACTCCGGATACTTTATATAGTAAAGACGAGTAACAAGCAGAAGTCAACGTGGTCAAAATGCTAAATGGGCCATTGTCGTCCTCAAGGATCCCTTGCAAAGTTGTTCGCTTCTTAAAAACCCCATATACATCAACCCACCTTAGTTTAGGCCTTTTGAACCACATAACTTTGTGGCTTCTGAATGTGAATATTATATCGCATCAGTTCAGAGTTGTTGTCCCCACAACACCATCTGGTGCCACGGGTTGACCTGTATATGTAATAATTTAGCGGCGTTTGCATGCGGTTAGCTGCATGGTTCGGTCAAGTTGGACGAGTCCAAGCCCGTCAAAGTTAACCACTTTTGTAACGACGATGATTTTATTTTATTTAATACACGTGGGTTTTCCGAATTATTTGGCCTGACCGGAAACAGCAAGATAAGAAGGTACGCGGTAGCAAGGGGCGGCAACGAATGGAGCCTGCCGCCGTATGCACTAAAGGTCGCTACTTGGAGTCTGCCATGGGGGTGTCCGGAGGCAGCCGTCCCTAATAACCGAACATCACATAATTTGGACGGATGTGTCACGTGCAGGACACGGACCAAATGAAGGCATTCTCCTGATGGTCAGAATACCAGGCAATCCGGATCGAGCATCTCTGACTCGCGCCTCTCGCCCCCTCACGGAGATTCTAGCACCGTGGAACCTTGGGGGACACTCTGTGATTACCCTATAAACTCAGTTGTAATAATTTTACTTTGTCTCCATAAAGGGCTGCGTTGAGCTACCGTGCCATTCTATGTATCATAGTGGGTGGAGCAGGAAGCCAAGAGACCGTTCACTACAGTCAGCAAGACACAACAATGGGTCAACCGAAGAAATGTCTGCTGTGAAAAACATGTGAATCTCTTCCAGCCAGCTTTCAGAACGACCGCCAGTATGGCATTATCGGCTAGTTTTTAGCCCATTCACTACACAGGCAACCCAGAAAGAAGGCTCATTAGCTTATATACCTGTTTGTAGGCACCGACACAATTGTTGAGGTTTGTAATAACCAATATTTCCGCTCTTTCGAAAGCCACCAATATACAAATCCGGTAGCCTAGAATTTCTGTTTAGAGGAAATCCGTATGAGTACCAGCGCCCAGCAGGTCATCTAGCCAAGCGAAAGAGCACATGATTCTTAGTTTCTGTTTGAGTTTTTCCATACCAAAAAACGACCTTAACTCTGATCATTGATTAATGCTCCAATTGAGGTTGCGCTACTTCATTTCAACTTGGTTACATATGAGTCTTATGGAAAAATATCAAAGCGATACCTGTTTTACAACTCAGACTACAACAGCCTTTCGGGACAAAGCTTAAACGCCCTGTGGCATGACCAGCTCATCTCACGATTTCATTGGAGTAGTCCCCTTCAGATGACGATCTCAATCTCCTGACGGAAAATCAAATCGGCCTTCTGTGCATATCAGTGTTTGATGGCCCTTGGTCAAAGTTCCGCAACTATTTTTATGTTGGATGGAAGATCACCTCAAAGACGCTCACGTTTAGCCTGTCAATTCGTGGTTTCTTTGAGGCAAGAAAAATATAGCACAAAGAAATGGCGTATTACGACAAAACCCGCCAAAAAATGGCACACTCTTCACATTCTGTCTAGTGTATTCATACAAAGGACGTATGAAGGACAAACACGATGGTAGCGAAGCAGCATGTAAAGATGAAGCACAAATAACACGGTGGTAAACGGGACGTTGGCTGTGTTCGTTCTAATTGGCACAGATTATGCTTAGTGTTTACCTTATAGGCCAAAATCTTCATATATTGCGCTTGCAGTGCATCGTAAGTCATTGTATATGATCCGGCCACTTGTTCACTGCAACTATTCCAGCTGTCTACCTCAGGAACATCCACATTAAGTGCTTGCCTGACTTCCACCATGTTGAAGTAAACCATCTGATTTGTATCGTCAACGCAAGTAGTAATGGACCGGCTTCCAAGTGACCTAAGATCAAGGATCAATTATAATAGAATTTCCGATTTGTCACACGGTATAAGAAAAGAATTTTTATGTAACTTCTTCCAATTATTTATTTGCACATTTAACCAGGATTCACCTGAAACATTCAACTTCCAATGTGATTCAAACATTTTGGTACCTGGTACGTCATGCTTAAGTGGAATCGGATCAGAGTTGAAATGCGGGTTTCAAAAATTAATACCCATGGATGGATAGCTTGCGGTTGCAATTTGGCCCGTCGATGAACGAGAATTAGCCTAAAATCACCAAGTTTATTAAACCTATATCGAATATACAATTCTTGATTTTTTGTCGCGTAGAGTACACCATGAACCATTCATTATTCACCATCAGCACCGCGGCAGTTAGACCAGTAACGAAACACAGGCGCTTTATCGTTGTGAAACATTTTCGACCTAATTTAGAAGCCCCCGATGTGTAAAATAGGTGAAGTGGGAAAGGAGGACGTTGTGCAAGCTTACCACAAACGTACGGCACACCTAAATACACAAAACCTAGTCAGGCCATCTGGATAGAAACTGACAACGCAAACTTCTGTTCGTCGCGACATCTCATGGGGCGCTTGAACGACATTCAGCAAATACAGCACTAGGACTTAATGTAACCCCCATTGCATTATGTTCTGGATTTTGTCCACCAAAAAGAAGTGGACTCATTCTGACAAAACAAGAAGCGCTGCTGCCAACCTTCCTTTGGGATTATCGACATCTTACATTTTGAAGATTGTGCCAAGAAATTTTCAGCCTGACAATAGACTTTCGAGCCACAAGCGATCAGTCAGTAGTGGAGCAACCTAAAATTCACCTATTCTAAACGACAAAAACACACACATCAAATGCTTTTTGGAGAAAAGCGAATACATTGATAGAGTTTTCAGTTGCGTAAATATTTACACGTTCGATAAAATCCGAGGAATTTTCACCCTGTAAAGCGGAACAAGAAGACCCTAAGAGGCAAAGTAGTGGAGTAAAACCGTTGTGAATTTACGATTAGAAATAATCAGGAAGGGGCAGCCGCTCTGTCACTTACACCGTTAGGTAGGCTAACAGGTGTCGATATGCCATTTCAAAATGGCTGACCGCACAATGATCTCAAACTAATATGAACTATCCAAGGGCTGTGTTAAACCATCATTTCCAGTCAGAATCATGTCGATGGAAAAACCCTGAGGTGTCTAGGTTGGTGACCACCAAAACGGTAGGACACCATGAACGAATCCGGTTTTGTATCTTGTTACCGCCAAAATAGCTTTCAGATGAATGTATATCTTTAGATTTTTAACGTATGGTAGCCATCGCGGATGCTTCCAGTTAACACGATCTTTAACGTAGAAAATACACATTTTCGAGCATCTGTTGATGCAAACCTGAGAAATCAGAAAATAAAAGTCCCCTACTCACCAAGACGCATTATTCATTTTCAGAAAGGTGTTATCACGGAACAAAAGTTGCTTCTCCGGAACGAAGCGAAACGACCTTCTTGGGCGGACAAATCGTCTTCCAAGAGGAGTCTGTACCCCACCATCACATGGGGCGTAAATGTTGTAAACATCCAAACCATCGGTAGCGGTGTTCGAGGTAGAAATCTGAAATGAATTGTTTCATTTTACAGTTTTGTGAGATAGAGTGAAACGACTGACAAATTATTGGGAAACACAAGGAACAAGTGAGGTAGAAATTTTATCAGAAGTTTGTACCACAGTTTATACGGCAGTGAAGCATCAGTGTTGAACACTGATGTCATGCTGTCGATGATGATTGTGATTGTACCGCCTGGGTCAGTCAAGCCAACAGTCACAGCTCAGTTATCCAGGATTGAACTTTCGGGGAGAAAAAATAGTCACTGAACTTTACTAGCCTATTGGAATACCCAGACTGAAATACAAGAACACATTGCATCCGTTCGGTAAAAGAAGGAATGAGGGGATCGCAAGACATGCAACATTTCTTGCCCAAAATTACCAAGATTCAGTCGCCTAAATCACTACATCGGGTGTATTCTCGAGGCCGATTGTGATCAGCTGATAAATACAGAGGCCATAATTGGAGAATCCACGGTACGCCAAAAGCACGGACAAGGTGTTCCCCTGGAAAAAAAGCCAACTAACCAAAAACACCAACTACCAACAGTTTTTCGACGTTGTCGTAGATATTCCGGAGTTGAATTGATTTTCCAGGTAACATGCTTGTTGTAACACCAACAACGAATAGTATAACCTGCAGCACAACCATCATTATTCCCGGCTCGTCATCCTCAATCACCTTGTCACAACAGCAAGCGCGCTTTACCAGCAGAAGCACAAGATAGTTCCGACAGAAAACTTGCTCTTCACCTCAAAAGCCTTTCCAGAAGATGTTTTCCCTTCTAATGGACAGTTATACTTCCAGCGAATATATTTCCACCACAATGCATTCTCGGAAGAAAGCAAATCTCTCAGATTAAACAGAAAGAACCTTCTGGTCCAGAAAATTGTCTGTTCCTTCCAATGAGAAAAATATCATTCTAAGAATGCGCTCTGTTTCTAAATGGCCATCGATCAAATTGCAATTACCGACACGACAGGCCCTTCACGACTGGACTTCGGCTTGACATTTCAGTATAGCCCATACGAAATGCACCGTTAAGTGCACCAAAAGGAACGTTCAATAAAAAGCTTCCAAAGAACTACCGGCTACGTATGACAGAGACAAAGCCAAAGTGAATAAGAAGCCTAGTAAACTAAGCTGGACATTATGCCAACCTGTGATGAAGACATGTACTCTGATATAAGGTACCGATTTTCAAAGGACAGTGGCGTGACACATTTTCTAGATGCACAGCGAAAAACCCCAGTGACCAATCTCTCAACCTTCTAACATTTTTTGGGCAAAGAGGAGTTACTTACATCAAATTTGAGAGATCCTAACATGAAAAACAAATGTAAATTATGGCAGGCGGAGAGTGTCCTAATTTGAACGAGTGCATGATGAAGAACAGGAAAGGATTAACTGGACACTTACTGAAAGAAGACGAACAAACTCTGGAGGAAGAAAACTGAGGTTGCATTGTTTCAGTAAACCTGGTTTGGAAATCTGCATTCTTGTTCTGTAAACACGATTTCTTCTAATGCAATTCGTTATCCGCCCTACCATTGTCGTAGAAAAACTATCGTTTCATTTCAGTTTCATAAATGATAAGTAGTTTTTTATATGCATCGTTCAGCATACTGGTAAACATCGTCGGGGATTGCATTATCTGCTGGGTGGGATACAGTTCGTCAAAAACATGACCAAAGAGAAAAGACATTTTCCAGAAAGCCGCGTTTGATTCACCAATCCTATGACGTACTTGGATGTACTCAGAATCTCCGACCACCGGATTCGAGATATTTTACCGATCATAACAGGTAATTAAATGCTAAGAAAACAACTAAATTAACAAAATATTAAACCAAACGAGAATAAATATTGAGTATTAATTATTAAATACGGATGAGATGTACTCATCACGTTGCGGTTTATAAAAATAAATAACTTCTGTTCTGAATGATCAGTCTTTAGTAACGAAAAAAGCGATATATTCAAACGACGAATCATGTAACCCAAAGAAACTTTACTGAGGGTAATATAACTATAACAATACTGTAATAATGTGATAAACCTCATTATCATCATCATCACCAAAGACAGCAACATCAGAGTTGACACTGGTGTCTCACTACCGTACAACCATAAGGTTCGTCTAATTATATACACAGATGTATATATATATATATATGTTAAAAGCTATACAGTGAAAAGAAGAGAAAAAGAATGGGTGAAAGAGGATACCCTGTGCTGCTGTACGTCAAGTATTCTGAGGTGCCTACACCTCCAAACGCTCAACCAGACAATCTGGAAAGAAACTTGCAGCACGAACACCACTGACATCGATTAGCCGCCATTTCTGGCAACGTCTCCAGCCAAGCAGAGACAGAGGTCACGGGGACCCCATCCTGTGAGGCGTACAACACCAAAAAACTCTTCGTGATCTCTTTCACACCTTTCTGCCAAGTCAGGTGCTGTCCACCTCTTGGTTTGCGCCATCCTGAAGGAGACACGGAGAACAACCCTCGTCTCGGTAGACGGTGTTTCGGCATGCGTAGCACATGACCGAGCCATCGTAGTCGATGATGCTGGATGTTTTCCCGAATTGAAGTACCTGCAGCACAACCAAATAGCCGTTTTCTAATCACCTCGTTACCAACACGCTGACGCCATCCACAACCAGCCACGCTTCTGAGGCATCGGTGGTCGAAAACCTGAAGACGTCTCACATCATCTACCCGAAGAGGCCATGTCTCGCACCCATACAAAAACACAGACCTCAGTGTAGCCTGGTGCACGCGACCCCAGGACCCAGTGAGATGCCTTTTTGACGCCACAAGTGACGCAAATTAGCAAACGTGTCTCGAGCCTTTGAGATTCTTGCACTGATTTCATCAGACACACTTCCGTCAGAGCTAATACAACTACCGAGGTATGTGAACATTTCCACAATCTCCGGTGGTTCTCCTTGAATTGTAAGGGGTATGTTCACAGACGGCACGTTCTGAAGCATGACTGTGAAGGTGCAAGGCGCATGCCGAAAGACGGTATGATGGTGGTCAGTTTATTCAACAAGATTTGTGCTTCGCTTTGGTCATCTGCGTACTCCATATCGACAAGGCTGTCGCCAGTAACAATTTGAACACGGGTTTTGAAGACCGTCCAGTGTTCACCTCATTAATTCATCAATGAAGAAGTTGAACAAGACTGGAGAGAGTGGACATCCTTGTCTTACACCACTTTTTGTAGGGAAGCTTTTGGAGAGCCCACCATACACTCTCACCCACCCAGAAGTATGTGAATATAGGGATCGGATTGTGTTTACAAACTTCTGGGGCACACCCTGTTGAGCAAGTGTATTTGACAACACTGATCGATCAACAAAATCAAAGGCATCCTTGAAGTCAAGGAATACCAGGATGGTGGGTCGTCTGTACATGTGGCGTTGGTCTAACACCTGACGGAGTGTGAAGATGTGGTCAACGCAGCCTCTACCCGGTCGAAATCTCGCTTGATGCTCACGAGTCAAGGCTTCGCGTGCCACCGTGGGACGACGAAGAATCAGTGACGCCAGAAACACTACCACAATAGGTGTCAAACTAACACCTCTGTGGTTACTACATTCACCGCCATTACCTTTTTTGTAAATGGACACCAACTATCGAATCACCCCAGTTCTCTGGGACGGTCTCCATCTCCCAGGTAGACCCAAATAGGCTAGACAGACACCGGCTGAGGAATCCACCGCCATCCTTGAATAGAGCAGGTGGAATGTCGTCAGGACCAGCAGCACAATGACGCTTGAGTAGAGAAATACACTACAACAATTCTCAGACTGACAGACATTTATTTTCACCTGGCGTTGGATGATGCGCCGGGTGAAGTTGTGCTGGCGGCCAGAGGGAATGTGTCCCGGGTCTCCAGTAAAGACACGGTCCTATCAGAGATCCAGTGCTTGGTTAAGGTTAGCCTGGCTGTACCCCGAACAGACGTTCTGGTTCTGAGTTGCGCTTTGGATATATTTTCTCAGTGACTGACGTCGTACTAGTCAGCAGGCATTCTAGAAGCTGGTCCTGATAGTTTCGTTTGACTTCTTGGTCTACTAGTTTCTCAATGAATAAGCGACGTGTGCGCATTTTGCGTACACCTGAAAAGCGCAGTGAAAAGCAACAGCGTACAAGTTCATGGTAAGAGTCCACGCTGGTGTTTCAGAAGGAGTGGCAGGCGATGGTCGACACTCGCCACCGATAACTGGAGGCGATTTGGTCTATTTGGAATCGGTGCTGGTTTGTTGATGGGCACCATGTTGTCAAGCGATTTCCGCTGTTCCGGAAATTCGAAATGCAAAGGAACAGTCTTTCCCAGTATGTCGTCTCCTCATGTGCCGATAAAACTTTCGCCTTTTGCAATCACATTTGAATTGTCTGTGAAACCAAGTGATGGGATGAATACGTTCCTTTCTCACATACTAGATAGTAGCTAAGATGGTTTACGAACGAAGTGAGCAGGACCCTATAAAAAGGTGAGTCGACATCAGGACCACATCATTTCAACGGCTTAGGTTAACCTCCCCAGATTCAATTGACTTCAAGTCCCTGCTTGGAAAATGTTGAATAAACTTTCTTTAGCCGATAAAACGATTGTGAACATTTGCTTCACGATCAGGGCCGAACATGGTGGATGTGTTTACTTGATGGTCGGAAGTGTGTAAGAAAGATGCTGTTTACTCTTCACTGGCCAGAAAACACTTAACCATGACGTAAGTCAGTTACCGTCACCAACGTACTGAAAACACACCCAATACTGACAGTATTGGATGTAGTGGACTCTGAAATAAACTTCCGGACGTATGAAACCTCATTACCAACAAAATTATGTTGCGGTGTTTAAGTTTATTGGTTTGTTTGTGTTTATGTTTACGTTTGTATTAACTGTCTACGCCGGTTTTCATAACTGCAGCTGCATCGTTTATGAAGATAAAAACAGAGTCAAACAACACCAAAACAACATCTGTGTTTTGAGAAATTGGGACGCCAGCTTATGCTCTCGCAAGTTACAGAATACTCGAGTTGCCGTCGCTGGAAATGTTCTGTACTTTCAGTACACCATTAAGAACGTTGTTGACCCTGAAGATACGCGACTTTTGGGAACGTTGGAGTTCACCGCACAATGTGCCGTATAGTTCAGCACCACTCACCACATATGTGAACAAAGTTTGGTATAATCGGTAGAATTACTGCTCTGCAACTGCCAGGGAAGTGCATACCAGAATTGGTAAGCATAAAAGGAGGGATAGACAAACCACCAAGGAATGCGGAAGAATACCAAACGCTAGTAATGACTCAGCGATGGCGGTACCTGCCTTAGACACGGAACATAGAGTAGATCTGGATAATGTAGAAGTTTTAAGACGGGGACTGTGATTCACACCACAGCGGCTGATAGCTGAGGCAGTGGAAATCACCAAGTCTCACAGCGTGAACCGAATCGAGGGTGTGGAATTGGCGAGCATATCTAAGATGAGTTGACACGTGATTGTGAGGTTGTGTGGTTGTCGATGCAAGTAGAATCCTAACCAAGCACGGGAGGTGGAAATCCCAACCCGACCAGAGGTCACAGCATCCCTCTTACACAACTATCTTAGCACTAGCTCATCCACGCAGACGGACAGAAGGTTCAAACGACGTTCATGAGGGAGGATCAAATGAACTGAATCAGAAGAACTAGACCCTAGGCTGGACCCAAATCCGTGTAGGTTTCCCAATCGGTCTAACATTTGGTCACCCACCCTAAAATACAAAATTCCTCCGTCGACAGCTAACAGAGATTTAGCTTGACTTAGCTGATTGGTCCTCCTTCCGCCTTAAATCTCAATCAACCTCGTAATCTAGTCAGTTGGCCTGTGGAGGTTTTTGTCGAAAGCGAAACGTTGCCTAGCAATAAATCCACCTATTGTTACCAAACTTTCCCGAAAACAGTGACTAATAAATTGGTTCCAAGCGTTTTTCACCCGATTGAAAGCGATTTCTGGAAACATTACAAAACAGGGATTCAGCTGGGTTCCAGATGTGTCACTAGCAAAACCAAATTTGTTTGCAAATGAGTGTATTTCGCGAATTCTGTTTCACATCCCACACTGGAGCATTTACAGACCTAGTGTCCAACTCCTTAACTCAATTCACACAAGTAAGATATACCTCGAGAGCAGGATCCCGAGCAAACAAGTTACGAAAGGAAGTTCCCTAAAAGGTAGGAAATCCCTGATTGGTGTTCCAACAGGAATATTTTTTTCGAGAAATTGATGGACGTTTGGGTTTGCCATCTAGGTATTCATTAAATCCCCTCCTCTCTTACATCAGTGTGTGCGTGCTGAAGGAGTTCCAGAAATGTTATGAACCCCATGTGTACCGTCTACTCAACATATCGTTATTCACGCCAGACTGGATTCTGCATTAAAGGTCAGGATGTAGATGTCAGTTCGTTTACAGTTGCGCTGGACACCCCCCGACAAACAATCCGCCAACATGAGCACCGAAAAGCTACTGTCACAAACTCCCCTCAAAGGCGAAAAACTACCGAGCTACGAAAAGTTCTTCATGATGAGCATTTAATTCCATTGTTTTCTTTTCTCTCAAGTTCCCACGGAGCTACATTTTCAACCTTTAAGTGAACTCAGTGAACAGGAAGATCACCTTATCCCATCTTTAAATGTTTATACAACTCAACCACTCAAATGACCAGTAACAATGAACTATCATGAAAGGGATAGTCAACTGCTGTATATAGTGATCTGCGGAACGAGGTGACGGGTAAATCTACATCTGCTGTCTCAATACATAGATATGCGCAGTGTGACGAGTAAAAGTCAAGTATCATTGAAGATGAAATGAGATATGAGTGTGACCCTGTCCTTCTGCGAGAGTAAAGCACATCTAACATCACGTGTTTACTTGGTAGCACGGTTAGCTATTAGTTTACACTTTGGCTGCGTGCATTGGTTGAGTGTGGCCTCGCCAGTCTAACTTACTTGGTGAGGCACAAATTTCATTCCGCCACACACTTGGCTTGCATTTCAGAGCGGAACATCAACCTCCTTGACACTCACTTTCCGACTAAGACAGCCCCGGACATAGGTGCCCAGTAATGTTGCTTGTCTTATGTACTTTATTAACATTCTGCTACAGAGGCTCCGTTACAGGGAATCTTCCTTCGAATCAATTGACCTTTTCACCTCGGATATGAACAACCGCAACCCTCACTTACCGAGTGAAGGACTTACTTACACTGCAGACCCTCCAACGAGCTCAACAAATGACCTAGTTCAGTGTCTGGAGGAACCGATATCACAGTACATCTTAGGACCCGCATTCCGCCTTTCGTAGCGAGCAACTTAAAGAACATGGAGGCAGACTATTCCAACGAAACAGTGGGTACACTCTGGTTATCAGCGACTGTTTCACCAAACGCGTAGAGGCTGCGGCAACATCAGCGGTCAATGCGGTTACAATAGCAAACGTCAGTTTCGACCGCTGAATATTCCACTGGAGCTCCTCCATTCTGACAGAAGACCACTTGAACGCATAACAACCCGCTAAAGAGAATTGTGAAATAAAGCCAGTGTTGATATGGAACGTTGATCATGGCCTACCTTTACACAGTTCACAGCTGAACCGGACAGACTCTGCACATTATTCGGACATAGCGTGAAAGTTGACTTCCCTACGACTAGCACTGTAGCGTCTAACTGTTGCCTTAGTCATCAGAGGCCAACGGATTAGAACACCAGGAACACCTTGAGGCGTTGCCTCAGTTTGCAGAGCAACTCACTTTATTTCAGGATAATCTTACTGATGCCCAAAGGCAACAATGCCTTCAACTGAACCATCTAAGGTTACTTTTCGTGCTTACTGCTGAAACATAATAATTACACTCGTTGGATGCAAAGATAACACACACCATGGAACTTAGTCACTCAAAAGGCTCATTCGGCACCTTGCAAATATAATGTAGTTATGAGCATATTGTTGAATCACTAAGAACGTGACTTGAAATGTGTGGGTTTAGATTATTTTACACAATGTAACTTGTCTCACTGAGATGACGCTTCGAAGTTGAAGATGAAACCACGTTTCTGAAGTTGAGTCAAGCCCCCACTTCAATTAGGATGCCTTAAGGGAATAGATAACAGTTCCGTCGGCCCTATTCTAAAAAACCATAACTTGTAGGCATTAGTAAATCCGCGGTGCGATTCAGAATAAACTTGAGGCAACGCTTCCGAAAAATTATGTCCACTTTAGCTTACAAACCAGGAGGATAAGAGGCCCGGTCACTCCGGCCGAATCGTTGAAATACGCACTTTCATCCTCAGATGTTGTGCAGTTTGAAGGCCGTGCACAGGTATAATCATAGTAACAAAACACCCGTTACACAAAACCCTCATAGTGTGTGGAATGTTTCAAGTCTCACTGATAGAAAACATTGGAAGGCATAATCGCTACAGATGAGTTCTGTAGCATTCTAGGGCTTCAATTGATATACCGACACCTATTCCCAATAGCCACAAGTTGTTGGCCCATTTTAAGTACGTAGTCCTCAAATATTGGTACTGGACCCGCAACTTGCAGTGGGAGTCAGATTAATTCGTTCATGATGATCAAATACTTGGTAGGGCTTATGTATGGGTCCGACAGTAAGAAAAACCGAACAGCGGCAGTCACAACTAGTATCTAAACCGCGCGCGATTTATAGCAAATATGGAGAAGGTAAAGACATAGAGAATTGGTCTGTTAGGATGTTGATGAATGGGAGCTAACAACAGTCTTCATGTGTTTTGGGGAACAGATTCAATTACTAGGCCGAATAATGAAAAATAATTTCGGGAAAGTAACCAGAGTGAGATTCTTCAAGTCATTTTGACATGCGCTGCCCCCAGAAAAGGCAATAAAATCAACAACACCAAACGGAATTTCTTACTGAGAGGACCAATTTCATCTTGGGGCGCAAGTGTTTCTGGGGTCTGTCTTGCAGAGACACTGCTGACGATAAAAGTTAAAAGTTGTTCACTCTACGTTTTTGTTCACCCACTACCAATAATGAACACACGTCCAAAGAGATTTTGATTTAGCGTTTGGCAGCGGAGCAGGCAATTTGGAAACAGGACCCACCAGGCCACAAAAAACTCACTGAACCAAAGTTCGATAACAAAGAGGCTTCATGTTCGTTTGCACCGTCTACTCTTATCAATGACTACATGTAACTGCCTTCGGGACCATCAATGCAATTTCGCTCCACAAAGCCTGACACAAGCGTCGGACATACTTGTTACCTTAAACTATGCCAGATGCTGAACTTGGAGGTCGTGAAATCAAGAACTGTAACTCACCACGTTCATACATTGCACAGAATGATTTTCGGAAAACATGCATTTACTCGAGCACCGGTCGGCACAACAGCTCGCAAGCAGGTCGTTCCACAAGCTGAAAGTGTCGAAAAATTGGCCGACAATCACGGGCCTAAATATACAAGCATGTGATGGTATACATGCTAACGGGAAGTCAAAACTCCACCGCTAATCAGATAACAGGCACTTTGCCTTTGAGAATACAAACTTGAACAATCACATGCAAGTGAATCGGCTGCATTTAACTTATGTTCGGACCAGCAACTGATCATTACGTTAGGTAAAAGTAAACACATGTGGAGGACACTCTTTTGTTGACGTAACCGAGTTGGCATCAAAGCAGTTAACAACTAACATGCAGGTAGCCATTTTTTGACCCTAGAAACATTCGGCGAATCGCTGTATGCTGTAAGCTACCAGGTGACTTCATGGTTCTTCATTCACCCTACTCTTGTTTAAACTGTCGCCCTTGTGCCGTCCCTCTAACAGCCTAGTTAGTCCACAGCAAGGAAGAAAAAAAATGGATTCGGGTTTCGCTTTTATCAAAAGAAAATTACCCACTCATCAGTTCAAACATATCGGCGAAACGTCTACTTAGTTTCTCCGCTTTGGATATCACCCAAGGACATGGAACCTCATGTTCGTGGCTGTATTACAGCGACACGCTTCATGACAAAGTTTATTACAGGCAATCTAATCGCTGAATAACAACATGACAATATTACATACAATTGAGGTAGCCTGCTCACTACAACTGTAGTAAATACAGGGTCATTTGAGTACGCTGTAGAAATCAAACAGATAATGTAGCGAAACACACCGCGAGTAAGCATCACGTTTGAGTGCGGAACTAATAACAAAGCTTTACGAAGCACCAAGTGAGTGACATGTGTCAATAGTTTTATTCACAAAGACCGATGTTCTGTTGGAAATGCGAGTAATCTTTCCGCACAGCGTTCGGTAGCTCAACAATAAAGAAATTCTTATTGCACTGTAATCTGCCGTCCGAAAACAGGATATTTATTTTAGACAACGAAGAGATCCGTTATCGGATAGGTCCACGATGACAGGCCACTTCTAAGGTGAGTATGCACTAGCAGCACGGTTAGGGATTTCAGTGAAACTTCGTATCTTTCTAAAGGCCGATTTCCCAGAAACTTTATGGTTATGTAATCTGAGGACCCAACAGTACCATGATCTCCATGATATAAGATGAATCACAGCATTTCTACGTCCGGATGGTAATTCTAGGCAGGGTAATTTAAGATGCCCTGCGTCAGGATGGAAAACCATACGCTCGCATATTAGAATAATCAAGGAAGTTTCCGTCACCAAGACCCGAAGAATCCACAGTACTAAACCTGGCAACTAACTTTTAGTTGGCACGTCATGACTTGTTCTCGATAAAGTATTTCGAATGAATGCCCACAATCTGTCCGGCCGGGAGTTTACAATCCCGTTCAAACCTAATATGTCTTGTTTGGTGTTCTAAAGATACCAGTTCTTTGCCACACATCGGCTTACGCATTCAGTTGACTTCCACTATCTTATGACGGAATCGCTGCTCGAGACTACATTGACAGAAAACAAGAAGGCAAACTTCTGAGCTAATGATGAACTTACCATTTTACAACCAAGTCTTTCAAATCGAAAAGTCGGTTTTCGAACCCTATACAAAGTTTTTTTGCGAATAGTGGAAGTAAACACAGAGAACTCAGTGATGTTCACCTCCAAGATAATTACTTACAGAGTACTGTGTGCCCCAAATGTAACCTCAATATCTCAATAAGCATAAAGTCAGATTTATGGGATAGTTCCACTGTCAATTATTTGCTGGGTAGAAGGCGACGCACTTCAAGTAAAATATTAAAAATGAAAACGTCAGCGAAAACACACAGCTGTGACGTGATTTTGTCGAGATAACATAACTATTTGTATGTTATTACAGGATTAGCGCGTATGCATCGGTACACAGAGAACCTCGGGATACTCACTTCTCATCTATCAATCCGTGGTAATAGACATAGTAGAGGAAAGAATTGTCGTTGAATTTTTTATTGAGGTAACCGTTTCCCACTGCGATTCCCTGGAACAGAGCACAGATGGTTGGCAAATAGGTTGTGACAAAATTAAGCAAGTAAATCTAACTTCACAACGTGCCCAACGCATAAGTAACTTCAAAGTAATGTCATCGTTTTCTCTGCTCCTGCGAAAGAGGAGCAGGATTTCATCAAAAGACGGACCGTTCAGGAGCAACATGAAATGGAAGCGGGCGAGTTAGACCATAGTATTACTTGGTCCGGTAATTGAATCACTCCATCTGCAAAGAACTATATTACACGATATTGCAGGAAGGCTATCTCAATGACAAGTATTCCGCTACTTAATTGTTTGACTACTGTACCCAAGGATTCTTGTGCTGTGACTTGGATGAAAGAATGGTGAAATTTATAACCGGGCTGTTTTCGCGACTGTGTCCGGTAAACCGTATTCCATTGCATGCATTTAAATGTGGTGTATATATAGGCACCTTGACACCAAATTTTTATGCATTAGTCATTATCCAACCAGTCAATCGTTTGCCTATAAACGGCTTTCTGCCTGATTGCACTCACACCAAATATCCGTATTGTGTACTATTGCGCTACCTTCATCTATACTTAACGGTGCAAATGAATACGACGATAGTTTCAACAACCATGAAAAATCAACACTTATACTGTCAGTCGTGATAGACAACATGATAAGATGATGATGTGCTTCAAAAATAATCGTCATTTCATTTCATACAGTGATGTTATATATATATATATATATATATATATATATATAGACA